ATCTGTCAGCTGACTCTAGTGTGTTGGGCTATGGACCAGGTTCCTGGAAATAGCCACATCCCCTTGTTTCTTCTTCGTTAAGTAGAATGGAATCCTGTACCAGCTTCTCAATTGATGTTAAGACTTTACCTGTCTAGCATACTTGGCAGATACAACTAGTTGGACTTCTTAGAAACAAAATGATTTATTCTTTGAGAATTTCACACTAGGTGTTTTGCTTCTTCGGTTAAGGAGGAAGCATTTATTTTGAATCATTTGGTAGGCTTTGTGCTTACGCTGTTTTCTGGCATAACTAGGCTCAGCAGAAATGCTGTTTTAAGTCCCAGGCGAAGCGCCGCCAATGCCCAATGCCTACTGTTAGCACATCTGTGTTGTCTATGACCTTGTTCAAATCCTTCAGAGTGTCCAGCCCGTGCCTGAAGAGAGCTATGAATGTGGCCCAACACAGAATCGTAAGCATATTTAAGACCTTATAAAATTTTTGCTGTGTTTTTTTTTGGGGTGTGTGTGTTACTAATTGTGTGTCTCAGACATGAACTTTGCAGATGACAATGTCACAATGCAATGCCATAAGTTTGGACGGGCCTACAAGTTGCTTCTGGAGAACAGGCACTGTTCAGCTGCTTGTTGTTTCTAGGAGGTGTTCACTAAACCACTGTGCATGCTAGGCTCGGACTGGGCTCACTGAACCACTGTGCTGCTGAACTGAATAGGCCAGGCAGGGTGAGCATGCCAGAAAGGGGAGAAAGCAGCTCTTTCCTGCCTCCCTCATTTACCACTCCTTGTTTCCTTAAAATCTGCTACAAGGCACGAAGCATCCAGTTTATCCTAAGACCATTTTGAAGCAATTGCTTACATTGTTGTTCAAATGATCTCTAGGTCTCGCCCTAGAGCCCAGGATAGGCTCGACCCAGTGACCCCTGCCATGGCCTCTCCAGTGGTAGGATTACAGGCTCTCTAGAAGTTTCTCCTATCACCAAACAAGTCTCCCTCAGCCCTCCCACCAGCCCCTGACAATCATCATCCTACTTCCTGCCTCAGCGTGTTGGCATAGTATCTTCAAGGCCTCTCTCTCTCTCTCTCTCTCTCTCTCTCTCTCTCTCTCTCTCTCTCTGTGTGTGTGTGTGTGTGTGTGTGTGTGTGTGTGAAAGCGAGAAAGGGAGCGGGTTTAACTATATAAGCTAGGCTGTCCTAGAACTGACTATGTAACGCAGAGTGCTCTCCAACTTGTGTCTCTGCCGACTCCAGCTCCTGAATGCTGGGATTACAAACAGTTTTATTTTTAAGTCTAAAATTGCATTGAATGAACATTTTTAGAGCAGTCTGCTTGACCAGGCCATGGTGGCGCTTTCTTTTAATCCCAGCACTCTGGAGGCAGAGGCAGGTGGATCTTGTGAGTTCAAGGCCAGCCTGGTCCACAAAGTGAGTTCCAGGACAACCAGTCTCAAAACAAAACAAAACAAAAGATTTATTGTATGTATATGTGCCACGTCCACAGCAGTGACTGCCGTGTAGTGACAAAATGCCTCTGCGCTGGCTTTTGCCTGCTGAAGGATTGGGGTTAGAGCTTCTTGGAGCGAAGCCCCAGGTGGTCCCCCTGGCAATCAGCGGTCGAGATAGGACCTGATGCCAGAGGCAGATCTCGTATCTGGAGATGGCCCTGAGAGCGAGCCCTCCTGACACCTTGCCTGATCTTTCTCTGTATTTCTTAATTTTCTTGTGTATAGCTAGCTGACCGCTTACCAAGAGATCAAAGTACGTCCTTGGCTCGGCTCCACCGTTCATTAAAGCAGTCCTTGAGGAAATAAAGTATGCCCCACGCCACATGAGCCTGGGAAACTTTATTAATTATGAAACAGAAACGGCTAAAGTTGAAATGTTACGAGGGAATCGTCATAGTGAATCAGATTTAGAGAGAAAAGGAGAGTTAGAGAAAATTCCCCTTTATGGAAAGATTAGCTAGATCTCAGAAGCCCTGGTGTCTTTATAGTAAGAAGGAAAGAAAGGAAATTATTGATAACATGAGACCAGCTTTAATATATTGGTATAGGAACTATCCTGAGAAAATGAGAAAACTATTAGGGAATATGGAGCAAAGAATAAAAAACTATATAGATGGAAAGCTAAACACAGGACCCTGGGAATTGGTCTCCCACGGTAGAATGTAAATAATGGTGTGAGACAGAATTCTAAGAGACAAAACAAAACTAAAAGTCCTTGCCAACATCTTGAGCACGTAGAGGGGAGCACGTAGAGAGGAGCACGTAGAAGAAGCTCTATTTTGATTATGCTTAACCTTGATTTATGTCTGGAACCCTGAGTGGGGTGATGCAGTGAACCTGCCAAGTTCTTTGATCTGTTTTGTACAAAAACTGAAGCTTTGCAGAAGTAAAATTGCAGCAGATTTTCACTACACAGTGTGTCTGTCTGTCATTTCCCTTGCATCGTATCCTGGCTATCCTATCCTTCACCCTGTTCTCCCGTGGATAGTGGTCTCCGGGAGGGACGGTCCGTGGCATATATGTGTGCTTTGCCTACATTTATGTCTGTGCAACACGTGTGCCTGATGCCCATAGAAATCAGAAGAGGATATTGGATACCCTGGAACTAGGGTTATGGATGGCTGTGAGCTGCTATGGGGGTGCTTGTAACCAAACCTGGAGCAAATGCTCTCAACCACGGAACCATCTCTCAGCCCCTTCTCTATGTGATGGGTATTTTAGCCATATTTTAGGTAACCAAATCTAATAAAATGGGGGGGGGGGGAATCAAGCTTATAAAACATGTCCAAAAAGCAACATAGGAGATAAGTAAGCCACAAAACCACAAAACCAAAGTGCAAATGGCCCTTGTCTACTTTAGCCCCCAAAGGTGGGCCGCACTGGGGCCTGAAGGGGGCACTAGTCTCCAGTCACCTCAAGATCACATATTTTGGGTTTCTTTTGTTTGTTTTGGGACAGGGTTTCTCTGTGTGGCTTTGGCTGCCCTGGAACTCACGGCCAAGCTGGCCTCGAATTCACAGATATCCACCTGCCTCTGCCTCTAGAGTACCTGGGATTAAAGGCTTGGGCCACCACCACCAAGCTTGTTTTCTTTTTTAAAATAATTTTTAAAGACTTTTTAAAATGTATGTGTATGTATATGTACCCATGTGAGAGTGATAATGAACTAAACTTCTGACACTGTAAGCAAGCCCCAATTAAATGCTTTCATTTATAAGAGTTACCATGGTCGCCCTGTGGTAATGGTGCATGAATTTAATCCCAGCACTTGGAAGGCAGGGGCAGGCAGATTTCTATGAGTTCAAGGCCAGCCTGGTCTATAGAGTGAGTTCCAGGACAGCTAGAGCTACAAAATTAAATAAATAAATAAGTAAAGAGTTGCCATGGTGACTCTTCACAGCATTATTCACCGAGGCAAAGTCATGGCGCCTGTTGACCTTCTGATACCCAATCGGAGTCAGCTGCAGATGCATGTCCATAGAGGATCTGAATCCCATTCTGGCTTCTGTGTGTCATCTGGCCAGAAACCCCATCTGGCCAGGTTAGGGTGGGGGATATAGAACAGGCTGGGTTCTGTGTGTTTGGGTGCAAGTCAGTGACAGAGGAGCAGAGCCTCGTGTTACTCCAGCCACCATGCCCTCAGCAGCCACAGTTGCAAACACCACTGCTTCCTAAGCTTGCAGGCTGTGTGATGGTTCACACTGGTGGTCAGCCTGCCTGATCTGGAATTAACTGAAAGACAGTTGGACACACCAGGGAGGGATTTTTCTGGATCAGATCATTTGAAGATGGAAGACCCAGCATAAAAGAGGGTGGAACCCTTGGGAGGCAGTCCAAATATGAGCTCTAAGGCAAAAGCTTGTGGACTGAGCAGCTACTGAGTTCTTTGCTTCTCCAGTGAAGATAGCTGCTGATGGATGGCCTAGGTCATACTGTGTAAGCAGTCTAATAAATGCCCCTGTTGTCTATATTTATTCTATAGGTGCTGTTCCTCTAGGGAACTCTTGCATAGCTGTAAACTTAATCCAGAATGACATCTAACTTTTATTGAACTTTTGGACTCCTAAACTTAAGCTGATCAAGAATGAAGATAAAATTCAGTAGAAAATACCAACAGCGTGAGGCTGGAGAGATGGCTCAGCAGTTAAGAGAGCACTGGCTGCTCTTCTAGAAGATTCCAGTTTGATTCTCAGCACCCACACAAGTGGCTCACTACCCTTTTGGGTTTTGTGATGCCCTCTTTTGGTCTTCTCAGGCACTGCATGCACACAGTGCACAGATATATATGCAAGCAAAACACTTATACTAACATAAAGATAAATCTCAAAATACTGAAAATAACAAAAACCACAAACACAGAACTTCCTAGTTAAGCTGTTCATTATCCTCATTTGACATCACTCAGCAGGTTATACCTCTGATGCGGTGGGCAACGACTCTGTATGCTGGGTATATATGCTACAGACACAATCAAATTTGTGTGGATTTAAGAATTACCCAAGTTAGCCGGGCAGTGGTGGCACATGCCTTTAGACCCAGCACTTGGGAGGTGCATCTCAGTGAGTTCGAGGCCAGCCTGGTCTACAAAGCGAGTTCCAGGACAGTCAGGACTGTTAACACACACACACACACACACACACACACAAAAAAAAAAAACCTGTCTCAGCCAAAGGGGAACAAAAAGGAAGAGGGGATCGGGAGAACAACAGTCAGGAAGCCTGAGGACCCTCTATCAGGCCTGGTGTGCAGGCGAACAGCAGTGTGAGCCCAGTGGTTCTAGGGGTGCCAGTTGGTATCCTGATGCCAATCAGACAACTCCCTGCCTCAGAATCCAGAGCCCTGCTCTTCCCCTCCACAGGCGCAGAGCAAGGCCTACCTATCACTGTTGCTGGGCTGCTCCACATAGAAACGTCTGAGACCAATAGACAGGTGGATGAGAAGGCTTTCATTATAAAATGTGCAAATGCCACCTGACATTAGGAAATGGTTCCAATTTTTATTCATAAATTATCAAAACTACAGAAGGAGATTGACAGAGGGACAGGTCAGTAGAGAGCAGGTGGACGATGAAGTAGACGATGAAATACATCTGACACGCTCTGAAAGTTTCGAAGACGCCCCACAAGAGCAGGCCTCTGCAGTTAGCTCTGGCTGCGTGACAGCTCATCTCACTCCTGCGTCCTCCTGAGCTCCCTACATTGGCCTTTCTCTTTCCCAGCTTGACCAGACGTGGCTTTGCGTTGAAGAATTTGTTTCCTGTCTCTGTCTGGTTCCAGCCTGGTGATAAGCACCCCTTAGGAGACAGAGTTTTAAGTCAAGGGAGTTTATAAGCTCCACGACCCCAGCAGTGGAGCCTCCCATGGGTTCCTCCCGCCAGCCAACCTCAAGACCTCGGATTCCCTGAGGTTCTCATGAGATCATTTACACAGCTCAGTGATGTGTTGATTATGGATGGACATTTTCCTTATGTGCCTGACTGACAAGGTACACTGCTTAGAAAACATCTGAATTCCCATTAGCTACCGGAACCCCGCCTTACTGGGTGGATGTCCATGTAGACAGTTGTGCCCTTAGCCTCCTCATGCTGTACCTGCTTGATGTGGCTGACATACTGATTTCCGTACACTTGGACTACCTTGTGATCTGCTGACCTTCGTAGTGCCCTCAAACCCCCTAGGACAGCACAGCACATGGAGGAAGCTGTGAGGAACACATGGGCTAACACATACAAACTTCTGTACTAAAACAGACGTGGCAGTCAGAGCTGGCTACTTCTGTGCTATGAACCTGTCTTATGGTTGGCTGTGCGGAGATTCCTTACCTTTATTTATTTACTTTAGGAAGAAGGGGATTCTTCCTCAGCCAGGGATAGTCATTACAGACTGAAAAATACAGGACAAGCAAGATGGCTCAAAGTAAAGACCATGGTCACCAGGCTTGAGGATGTAAGTTCAATCACTGGGAGCCACACAGTAGAGAGAACTCCCCCAAGTTGTCCTCTGACCTCCATATGTGCCCTGTGGCATATATGTATTCATATACATGGTACAAATAAACAAATGTTATTTATTTATTTATTTTATATTATAGGAGAATATAATCATTCTTCAAGTGTCGAGGCAGAAGTCAGGGTTCTGCACCTTAGGCCAAGTTCTACCACCAAGCCACATTCTAGCTTTCAACATCTAAACAAAAAATATTGTTAAGGAAAATTCATAGCTGGGCGGTGGTGGCACATGTCTTTAATCCCAGCATTCGGGAGGCAGAGGCAGGAGGATCTTTGAGTACGAGGCCAGCCGGATCTACACAGAGAGATTTCCAGGACAGCCAGGGCTACATGAAGAAACCCTGTCTTGGGGGGTGGGGTAGAAATTTTCCGAAGACTATCATGCAACGATTTGAAATCCCACAATTGTAAAACTGTATCATGGGCCTAGGGATTCAAGAGCATGTGCCTAGTATGTATAAGGCCCTGGGTTCAAACCCTAGCACCGCAAACACAAAACTAACCTGTGGCTGGGAGTAGAGTCAGGGGTGGAGAATGTGCTTGTATGCACAGGCCTGGCAGCGCGTACTGTATATGTCTAGTACAGGAGCACATGCCTGTGTTCTCAGGCCAGCACTCAGGAAGATCAGAGGTTCAAGGTCATCCTCGACTCATTATTTAGCTTGAGTTTCAGTTTCTTCATATCTAAAAGAAAACACAATTCACACCTCATATTTTTAAAACTCCTTTACCACACCTTTCATATTCACCTGCTTAATAAATGTTTGTCCTAGGCAATAATTAATGACTGAGTCCTGCTAGGAGCCAGGTTCTGTACTGAGACCTGGTGACAAACATGACACTCTCTGCTTATTACGTGGGACGGGCAATAAGCAGCTAACAAGTAAATATGTAAATGTAGTCAGAAAAGGAAGACACCAGAAGTGACTGATACAAATGGCTTTGATCACAACAGGGATGAGTGTTGGCATTACAGGGAGATGGCCCTACTCCGTGAGGGTCATTAAGGAAAATGTAAAGACTCATGACAACCGGCGAGACATGTCACCTAGTGACATATATAGAAGCTGAGAGGAAAATCAGATTTTAGAAGCAGAGAAGGTGTTAAGACCAAGACTGCTCTAGAGGCCTGAGCTTGCGTCTCAGTAGCAGAGTGCTTGCCTAGCAGGCTTAAGCCCCAGGTTTGCTCCCTAGCACCACAATTAACAAACTCAACTAAACAGTGACATCCTGTCGCAGATGAATTTCAAAAAGTGGGGAGCTGCTATCACAGAACATACATTTAAAGCTCGGAGAGACTACTAAACAAGGAGGAATGTTAGACCAGACCCATGCCTTGATGAACTCCAGGGGTTCGGTAGGGATCCGAGAAGGGAAAATGACCAGAAAAGGAGTCTGAGAAGCTTCAAGCAACTGCAAGCATGAACTACGGTGGTGGCACCTATAATAAATACAGCCGCTGTATTTAGCCACAGAGGGATCTCAGTTCATAGTAGATTTTACAAGGCAGCAGGGACAGGGATGAGACTGGAGGGTGTCCACAAGTGACCGGGAGAACAGTGTAGGCACCTTTTCTTTTCTATTTGAGAGAAGTCTCACTATGTAGTCCAGACTTCCTCAGTCCTGTTCACAGCTACTGTCCATCCAGGTCAATGACTGCCTGCTAAGTGCACAGTCCTCTTCCAGCCTCTGTCTATTTCACCCCCCACAGCCCTGTCATAGCCTATGCTCCTGGGAACACAAGGTCTTTGATAGTTCTGCACCCGATTTGCTGCTACCAATTCATTTCTGTCGCATCTACTATCGCTGCAGGGCCAACTCCCTCAGATCCATCCCTGTCTACCAATTCTGCTAAACTCAAGTGATACTCCAGCACTTTGTCCTTCAAAGACCGGCTCAATGGGCCATCGTGAGCTATATACTCGGCAAACTAAAGGCCGGTGGGCTAAATTGAGAAAGCAGATGCTTGTAGTCTTGACATATTATTTTATCACTATTATCGAGAAACTGAATGCTTTGAGGCAGCACAGGCATTGTAGTGGCTCTGGTCTAGCACTCCCGCTGTCGCCTTGCTGAGGTCTTGGGGTATGTGACTACTCCGGGATTTCACGATAAGGGAGTGACTGAACCATATATCCCTGGGTAACGACAACCCGAGGACTTCTGGATGTACCTGGACCTCGTCGTCCTTGAGGACGGGAACGGAGCGGAGGTTGTACTTCCGCCGCAGTTCTTTGCACAGCCGGGAAGACACGGTCTTTCCGAGCTCGTGAGAGGGGACAATGAAATGATTTTTGAGACTTTGCTGAGGTCCGAGGTCACCAAGGGGTGGACCGTCCTTGTGATCACCTGTGAACAGTACCACAGGAGGTAGGGGAAAGCTAGGTCTCTAACCAAAAATGAGTCTTGAGAAAACCACCACCACTAACGCACAAGTTCGGGCTCCGGTGCAGTGCGCGCAGGGCCGGATATGACGTTTCGCCGTGGCGCAATCGCTGAAGGAATGCGAGTCTCCGCTTCCTGCCGCAGGAAAGCGGGACAGCGCCCTCTGCGGCTGGAGTCGAGTCTCGGCGCTGGTCTCTTCCCGTAGTGGAGTGGACAGGAAGGCAGACTGGAACCCCTTAGTCTTGGGGCCTGAAAGGAGGTACTGCTTTGTAAGGCTTCCAATAGAAGCCCATGGGTGCTTCTCAGGCTTGAGTTTCCGGTTTTGTACTGGGGACCGAATCCAGGCTTTTAGGACATTTTCTAGCCTGGCGTGGTGTCTCATTCCTGTCATTGCAGTACTGGAGTGCAGGAGCCCAGGGTATCAAAAGTTCAAAGCTACCGAGACTATGTAAGACCCCCCTCTCAAAATCAAAACAAACAGCTAGGACCTAGTCTGTTGGGTAGTTAGACGGACATTAGCTGACTCGGAGGCTGCTGAGGATAGACTTCCCCTTCAGATCAGCTTGGCTTCCCACCTCTTGTTTTCTTTCTAACACCAATTTTAAGAAAGGGAAGTACCACAAATTGCCCCTCCTTAAGGCATAAAATACCAGAGGAAAGGGAGGAGGCTTGTAACCGGCTAAAATGCCGACCTTGCTTGTCGTGACACCTTGGACATTATCCCCTGAAGACAGACACACACACCACAAGCTGTGTTCAGATCTCCACTGTCCAGCCTGCCTGCATTCTCGGACCCTTTCTTGGACTCTCCTAGTGACTCCTGGGAAGAGCTGAGATTACAACTTGTCTGCTCTGTTGGTATCTCTAAAATTCCCATGAGGTGGTTCTCAAAACTTCATTCTGAGCCCAGTTTTTAAAAATTGCTTTTATCAGTAAGACTAAAACCCATTCCCTATTTCCTAATAACACTTCAGTCACTGAGCCGTATGCAGTTCCATTTCCTTTCTGCTGTCCCTTTATCTTCTCACCATTCCCAAACACCCCCCCCCCCACCGCCATTGCCCTCAACAGGGTGGTCTGGAGAAGTCACATGGGCAGGTACTGCACAGTTGTTCCCAGCCTCCTGGTTACAGAACCTCCATCCTTGGGTATTCAAGTCCATTCCACGCGATGCTTGCATATGAATATAACCGGTCATGTCCTGCATACTTAACGATGTCAAGATATAACATCTAGTACAATGTAGAGGCTGTATGAATTCGTATACTGTATTGCTTAGGAAATGAAAAGAAAATCTGCACATGTTCAATATAGAGAAACAATTATTTTTTTATCTAAACATTTTCCACCCGTCTCTGGGTTCAATTTGTGTGAAATTTGCCAGTGTGGCAGACTGATTGTACATTGTCCAAATTCCTTGAACACCATGACAGACCATTCAAAAGTCATGTGACTGGCTTCTTCAGAATTACTAAGCTCAAAATGGAAAATTTTGGGCCCTATTACAATTCTATAAAAACACATGGTGGAGGCTGGAGAGATGGCTCAGCGGTTAAGAGCACTGGCTGCTCTTCTAGAGGTCCTGAGTTCAATTCCTAGCAACTCAATTTGAGCCACATGGTGGCTCACAATGATCTATAATAGGATCTGATGTTCTCTTCTGGCCTGCAGGTGATCACATAGAGCACTCATACATAAAAAATATAAATAAATTTTAAAAATTTTAAAAATCTCATGGTGGGCCAGGCAGTGGTTGTGAACACCTTTAATCCCAATACTCCTGAGGCAAGCAGAAGCCAAATTCAAGGTCAGCCAGATCTACAAAGGGAGTTCCAGGACAGCCAGGACTACGCAGAGAAACTCTGTCTCAAAAAACAAAAACAAAACAAAAGAAATACACAAAAACCGCCACATGGTGGAAGGCCAGAGATATATCTGGATTCATTTAAATTAAAATAAAATTTAATTTATTGGTGCTGGGGGCTGAATCCAGTAACTCAATGCATTAAATACACACTCTACCACTGACTTACATTTCCCTTTTCCTCAAATCTAAACTTTTAAAAAAAGCATTCTCCCAATGTTTTTTTTTTTTTTTAAATATACACACCCCTCTGTTGTTTGTATCATAAAGTCATACCTGGTTCCAACTGTGTCCTTCTTGCTGGATCTGGGAACTGCCTGCTTTATAGTCTTGATTTCCTGATCTGTAGAATGGGAATGCTCTTAGTAGGTTGTCGTGAGAATTAAATGAGTTTCCTAGAGTGTTCAGAACAGTCCCTGGCACAAACCAGGTGTCAGTCTTCCTAAAAAGAACAGGTGTGTGGGGCTCACGCAGGGTAATCCAAAAGACAGACTTTGCATTTGCTGCAGTCTTCACATTAGACGTTTTATGCTGGGACTAACGCTCTAATACTGAGGTATATATCCTCTGTGCTCAGAGCCCTAGAATTAATCTCAGTGATGGAAACGGTTAGCTTTCTGTGTGAATGGAAACGTGCGATGCACCACACTGGCGAGAGTGTGAAGTGTGCTCTCTTTACTTTTTTTTTTTTTTTAACTGCTTGAGAGAGCTTTGGGAAAGATCCAGCTCACCATCCTGAGAGTCCATGGCCGCCCCTGTCCACCTTCGAGTTCCAGACCGGGTCCCACCCCGGCCTAACGAACGAGCTTTGCTTTGCCGGTAGGAAGATTGCTGGTAGCGCGGGCGCCACCTGCAGGCTCGTTCGATTAAGACACGCTGCACATCCTCTGGGCGTGAAGTCTTGGTCCTGGCGATGCCATATGTTGTGAAGAAGGCACCTGTCTTGTGAAGGCTCCTCCCTGAGCACTGTAGCGGCGAGGATGGAGGAAAAAGGCTTCCAGCTCCCGCTGCTTTCATGTTAAAAGCCCGAAGTGCTTATTCTGTGGGAAGTACTTTTCATTCAGCATCTCTAGCCCTCCCATTCATCCACTCACGGTCCATCTGCTGAACACCTACTTTGTCCCAGATGCTGGCTAGGAGGCTGTAATGTTCACTTAACAGATGGAGGGACTAAGATGCAGAAAGGATGTCGTGCCCAATGTCGAAACACCACCTTCAGCTGGTCCTCCCTGTGTGCATTCCTAGCTTATTAGAGTTGGTATTAGGGAAGCCTAACGCTGGTATTACTGGAGCTCTGACTAGTGCAGTTCTGTTTCGGACTTTATTTCAGAGGCCCCTACAACCAGGATTGGAGATTTTTGGAGGAAGCCTATATTTGGGCAATGTATGCTACCGCAGTTAAAGCCATAGAGACCACAGTGACTTCACTGCCATCCACTGCCAGTGTGTCTAGGTTGCAAGGGTTTGCGGAAAGGGTCATCAGTGAACTCAAACGAGTATGTGATTAAAGGTGTGTGCCACCATGCCCAGCGTCTGCCAGTCACTTTCATTGGAAACACAGGGGCAGGCGCCAGCGAGGCTGTGCCCAGGAAGGGTCAGAGGTTGTCTTCATAGGAGTCATTGTGGAAGTAAAGTCACTCATTCACTCACGGGCGCCCCTGCTGCCCAGTCAAGTCGGTCCCTACACACTTCCTCAAGAGTTCACACACGCGTTGATTTATTTGGCCCCTACAGAAAACCACGTGCACAGTGTGGGGGGAGATGTGGAGACCATTTTAACTCCGTCCCTCACAGGTTCACCTAAAGCAGCGATTCTCAACCTGTGAGTCATGGCCCCTTTGGCATTTCTCTCTCAAAAACATTTACGATTCATAGCAGTATCAAAATTACAGTTAAGAAGTAGCAATGAAAATAGTTTCATGGCTGGAGGTTACCACAATATGAGGAACTGTATTACAGGGTTGCAGCTTTAGGAAAGTCAAGAACCATTTTTGTTTTGTTTTGTTTGTTTGTTTCATTTTGTTTTTTCGTTTTTCCAGACAGGGTTTCTCTGTGGCTTTGGAGCCTGTCCTGGAACTAGCTCTTGTAGATCAGGCTGGCTTCGAACTCAGAGATCCACCTATCTCTTCCTCCTGAGTGCTGGGATTAAAGGCACGCGCCACCACAGCCCACGAGAACCACTGGGGGGGGGGGGGAAGATGAAAGAAAGCACACACACACAAAAAGGTTCTCTTGTTCTGACCCTCCTCCCTCCACTTCCAGTTTTTCCTTTTGATGTGGCTCTGATGATCTTGGGGCTCAGGCAGAACCCTGTATTTTTTCAGAACCCTGCACTCAAGCAGGTCTGAGTTGGAATTCCAACTGTACCCCCTGCTAGCTGTGTGACCAGGATGCAATTATGCCTGCCTCTTCCTGGCATGCTGAGAATGCCCAAACCTCCCAATGATGGGTTAGAATGAAATGCATGACCTCACCAGCCAAGAACTGGCAGGAAACAGCTGTGGGGAGGAAAAGGGTCTTCAGAGAATATTCTTTTACATTTGTCCCTTTTCACATTTGCACACTCCCGTATCTGTCCTCAGATAGTGAACCTTCTAGAAGCACACACCAGGTTTCTTTGACTGTTGTTTTGGTGCTGGGGGAGTAAGCCTGGGGCCTCTAATACTGAGCTCCACCTCCAGTTCCAACAGCATTTTTAAAATGATGTAAATTTCATTTATTATTGTGTATGGGGGGGCATAATGGGGGGGGGGGTCATGCGCCATGGCGTGCATATGGAGGCCAGAGGACACCCTTTGTGAAGACCGCTCTCTTTCCACCTTTACACAGTTTCTGGGATTGAACTCAGGTCACCACATACCTACTGAGCCACCTTGCTGGCTCTTTCTTTCTTTCTTTCTTTCTTTCTTTCTTTCTTTCTTTCTTTCTTTCTTTCTTTTTTAAATATTTATTTATTTCTTAAGTATACAGTATTCTGTCTGCGTGTATTCCTGCAGGCCAGAAGAGGGCACCAGATCTCATTACAGATGGTTGTGAGCCACCATGTGGTTGCTGGGAATTGAACTCAGGACCTTTGGAAGAGCAGACAATGCTCTTAACCTCTGAGCCATCTCTCAGCCCATGCTGGCTCTTTCTTAAATTACATTTACTCATGTGTCTTCATTCATGCATGATCTTCCGTGACACACAGGGGAGCTAATTCTC